GAAACTTCGGTGGAGGCTCGAAGTGATACTGACGTGCAAATCGTTCATTGGACTTGGATATAGGGTTGAAAGACTAATGAAGTGTATAGTAGTTGATTCCCTCCAAAGTTTTTCTCATAACAATTAGAGTTGTTGAACAGTTCGGGTAAAGCGAATGATTTTCGAAGGTGAAACACCCTCAACCTATTCTTAAACTTTAAATATGTGAGATGTCGGGGTTGCTTAAACGAACCTCGAAGTTTGTAAAAACTTTAAGTGGGTCATTTTTTTGTAAGCAGAACTGACAATGAAGGATGAATCGAAAATCGAGTTACGGTGCCAAACTGTGCGCTAACCCAGACACCTAAAAGGTTTTTGATTGATATAAATAGCAAGACAGTGGTTATAAAAATTAAATCCGCTAAGAAGTGTGTAACAACTCAGCTGCAGAATCAATCAACCCAGAAAATTGATTGTGCTGAAGCACGTGACCTATACTTGGTCGTCGTGGCAATTCTCACGATGCGACGAGTAGGACTCGGAGGGCGTGGGGTCTATTGCAAAACCTGAAGCGTAAGCCTAGGTGAAGCAGGTTCCAGTGCAAATTTTGGTGGTAGTAGCAAATATTCAAATGAGAACTTTGAAACCGAAGTGGATAGCGGTTCCATGTGAATAGCGCTTTGATATGGGTCAGTCGTCCTTAAAGAGATGTGGAAACCTTGTACAAATGAAGTATTTTGCGCCACACATCGAAAGAGGGTCGAGTTAATATTCCTTAACGGGGTTCTGGAGGTGGACGGTGATGTAAGCAACTATGAAGATGACCATGTCGGGAAACGAATGACTCGATCAGATCAAAGATTGTTATCCCGCAGAGTGAACTATGGAAATAACAGACCGTGACATAAGGGTCTTTAATTTTTTTGAGACACGACTAGCTATGTCATCGGAAGTAATGCTTGCATCCCATAAATTCAAAGTTGTTTTGTTGGCTCAATTTGGGCTCAAACTCCATTATGTTTTTGTACCTACAAAGACTACACATCCTACGGGCCCAAAAACGCTAAATTCGTAGTAATCACGCAGAACTGTAACAATGAGGGTTTGATCTACTGTGTTGTTCTCTCTTTGGCTGAGGAACTTTGTAAATTGAAGTACCCAGGACATGTGATCCGCGCTGATGGATGGCACGGTGGAATAACACGACCTTATGGTGGAAAATATTTTATCCGATCTACGAGTTGCAGAGGTAATAACGCTAGGTGGCGCGTTCTGGTATTCTTGTATTACCTGCTGGTAAATATATGAAACAAGGATCCGTATTTTCGGGTCCGGAATATCGATGCGATACCAAGCCGATAAACATTTAAACTTTATGTGTCAGTAGAGACGAAATCGCAATTTGTCGAGTTGCAAATGTCGTAGCACTTGAAAACGTTGAGCGGCCTTATGAGGAGGAGTGTTGATTTGATGGGCGTCACCTCCTATTGGGAACCCTCTATCGCATAATTTTTTTTTGGTGCATAGATGGTGGTCTTGTTGAACAGGTGGTAATCCCCAGGACGAGGTTACCGCACAGTTTGATTTTTTTTTTTTAAAGGCCTGCTGTGGGCTTAACTTCGTTGAATCGGGATATTATTTTGCAAAAAATAAGGTACGGGCTTATATCCCGAGTACTTCATAAATTATAATAGTAATATTTAATAATGTAGCATGTAGAGGAAAAACCTCAATCTAAGTGACGTTTTGAGTGAAAGGGTTTAGCTTCCCTTTGCAGTGTTATGAATTAAGGGATGTTGGGGAGGAGATAACAGTGCCATGATAATAAAGCTCAAGTTATATTCTTTAATGTTTAATTCTATTTTTTTAGTAATATAATTCTCATTGATTAAGTTGGTATTAACTAAAAGACTATTTACAAAAGTGTCAGTCCGTTGAGCGCGCAATCACTTAGTCAACCATTGACTATGTGAGCTAGCGTGTCGGACAATTAGTCTATCAGTTAGTCATCCACTCAGTTACCGAGCCTCCTACTATAACAATTACTTAGTTAGTTAGTCAATAAGTCTATCAGTCAGTTAGCAAATCTCAAACTTTGCCATTCATTCAATAAGTAAGTCAACAAGTTTGTCGTTCAGTCAATCGGTAAAAGTGTCATTACCCCAATCAATAAATCAATCAAAAGTCAGTAAGGTTATCGTTTCGTGAAGCAGTAAAAGTGTCAATAAGTCAATCAATTATCAATCAATCTACCAATCACTTATTCATTCGTTAGTTGAATTTATTAACATGCGTGATTGCTATTTTTTATAAGTTTGATTGATGTTGATGATGGAAGTCTCTAGTCATTGGGGTCACTCTAAATATTTGTTGGCAATTGGTGTTGGAGGTGTTATCCCCAAATGGATGGATGAGGGTGGCGCGGTTGTGTCAATTTCATCCGTTGGCAGCAACAGACCCAATCAACATCCCCACGTGACGTTAGAGGGAATCTTGATTGGACGACCCATGTTTTCTCCAAATGGATGGATCAGGGTGCGGTTGAGTCAATTCCATCCGCTGGCAGCAACAGACCCAATCAACATCCCCTCGTGACGTTAGAGGGATTGATTGGACGACCCATGTTATCTCCAAATGGATGGATCAGGGTGCGGTTGAGTCAATTCCATCCACTGGCAGCAACAGGCCCAATCAACATCCCTTGCGACGTTGGAGGGAATCTTGATTGGATAACCCATGTTATCTCCAAGTGGATGAATAAGGGTGCGGTTGAGTCAATTCCATCCACTGGCAGCAACAGGTCTAATCAACATCCCCCTGTGACGTTAGAGGGAATCTCGATTGGACGGGCCATGTGAGGCTTCTTGAGGCATGCTTGCACACCTCATCCGTGCCCAGCTAGTCGTGTCAATGCCATGTGGTACCCATGCCAATTTGCAAGTTCATGCGAAACCGAAAGAGAAACGGTCCGGTACTGTTTCATCCATCCTCATCCCTACAATTGCCTACCCATCATATGTCTGTGCGCCTGGTGCTGGTGGTTAACAGAGACCGATTGCCTAAAATGCCATGATGCACTTCGAATGGTCCTCTGCCCGACAACCGTTCCATTCTCCCCTCAAACCCCTTCCCAAAATTGCACACCCTTCACACTACTGCCGGTCCTACAGAGGACAGGTAAACCCAATGACGAAAGAGCCTGCTGGGGTTGTATAAACGCATCCTACATAGAACAGGTCTAGCCAATGACGAAAATCCTCCGCAGACTGTGAACAGAAGTCGGTGAGGGTTGGTGGCGAATCCTTCTATCTGTTCAGAATGAGTCAACTTATGGTTTGTGGGGGAAGGCCATAGTCTGGCACTAGGTAAATCAGTGACACAGTACCCTCTTCCTCAGAACCTACGAAAATAGAAAAGAGCCCCCATCATCACGAAAGTATGGAAACTTTCCGTCTCGAATGCATACAGTCATGATGAGGGGGCGCTGTGTTTGGGGGTTTCAGAAGGCTATAGCCTGGAACACACGGCTGTAGTAGTAATTTGTGACTCACTGTGTCATTTTCGGGCTAGCTAAGGGATTCTGGTCCGAAAAGGCTGAAACGCACCGCTGCAAGCTACCAGTAAGAAAACCTACTGACTTACCATGGTCTCGTTCACATCAGCCTCAAAAATGCCCCATGCATTTTGGCTCCATCCCTTAGCAAACAAAATTTCCTCAAGATTGACTGCGGTAGACTACCTAGTAAAAATAAAAATTGTTTGCCACGTTTCTCAGCGGTGTGCCGTCCTTGGGCTGGCAGCCGTCGGGCGAACCCTGGACAGGCTCGATAGGTGAGGTACGGGCAGGTGCCCGCCCGTGAAGGCCGTTGAGAACCTGGGGAACATGCTGTGCTGGCAGCTTGTTGGCTGGCGTTCTGGCCGTTTCCTGCAACCCTTCCTCGACTCTTGTCGTCCCTCCTCTTGTCCCCCGGCTCTCGCCTCCTTCCCTTCGCCCCACCATTTCTCTGACCTGAGCCACGGCTTGACGCCGGAGGATTCGAGCACTCGACGTTTGTGAAGTCCGATCCGACGACGATTCTGTGGGCTTGGGCGCGAGAGCAGGCAGGTTACCGGTACCGCTGTTCTTCGCCCCGCGCAGTGCATACCAAGGTGGCGTCATTTTCCGGACTCTCCGAAAGTTCGCAGCCCCCGTAGGCTGGGCGCGAGAGCAGGCGGGCTGCGCGTGCCACTGTTCTTCGCCCCGCGCAGTGCATACCAAGGTGGCGTCATTTTCCCGACTCTCCGAAAGTCTGCCGACTGTCCCCGACTATCCCGACGGTCGGGGCGTAACTTGGAGCGGAAATGATAGCGCGGGAAAATCGAATGACATTTCTCACTCAATTAGGACTATTGGAATGCACGGTGACGTATTTCAGTCCAGATACGTCGTCAGAAGCCCTACGAGCAGTGCTACCCACGACCATATTACCGGTAGCAGTCGCGATGCCACTCCGGGGCCAAGTCCCAATTTTGGTAGCACCGTTGAGCTATCTCAACGCCCGAATCTGGACGTGTTTGTGGAGGTGCAGTTCAGGAAACTCAACACCATTTCTGCACATCTCCTCAAAAGCGTCCATATTCAGGCGTTGATTGATGTAGCTCAACGCTGCTAGTGGGACTTGCCCCCCGCCCGCTTACTAAGGTAGAGTTCGGCAGCCTTGGCGCTTGGTCGCTACCCTCCTTGGCGCCCACCCCTTGCGTGCGGGGTTTTCTCGCTGGCTTACCTGGGACTTTCTGGAGTGAATCTATTGTAATTTCGCAGCCAGATTCGGTGGTGAAAGTCGTAATGGGCCGAAGTTCCGCTGCGCCTTTGGTTCGCGCAGGAGGAAAAGGCTCGGGCCTCGGTCTTTGGTACTCGGTCCACCCTTGGGGACCCCGGCGGGAGGGGGGTGCCGTGGCATGGGCTTTTCGAGCTCGAGGGTGGTAGCCTTACCCTCGAGCAACGGCTCGTAACCGTGCCGGTCTTTGTCGCCGGCTGCCACGTGAGCAGAGATGGCACAAGATGGACGCCTACCCCTTGAGATGATGGGTTGTGCTCGTCGAGGCACAGAAATTCATCGTCCATTGTCTAGACTTGGCTAACGGACCTCTGTGACCTTGAGGAGAGAGAGGAAGGAACCACTCTCCCTCTTCCCACTTCTTCTTTCTCTCTTTGACGCCCCCGAAATTCTCCCGCCCTCGTATCTCCTCGGCAACTCCTTGTACCGTCCGTACGTATGCTTGGTGCCGTACCGTCTCGTGCATGCTGTGCTGTTATCACCGAGATGTAGAATCGTGTCCATCGCTCGATCTGTCCTTCGGTTGCGTCCCCGTCGCGTTGTCACTCTCTTCTTCTTCGTCGATTCTTTGTCTGCGAGCCAGCGTCCATCATCCATGGCGATTAATCACTTCTTGCTCTTTCAGGAAGAACCGTCAGTTGTGATCGTCATGTCTCTCCCTCGGTTTCCTACCAGTGGGTTACGAGCGACAACAACGTCATCACCCAATCCTGTCCGCCGCTGATTTGCGCTTACCCTTGAGAAAAACCATCAACACGACGGGTGACGACTCGGTCTATCTTGGACGAGTGGGACAAAGGAGTGGATCGTTTCCGGGAAAGAATGCAGGTCTGATGATGATGATGATGATGATGATGAGGGTGGTTGGTGCGTCCATGAAGCCTCTGATCAGAGATATGTCAACGTGTGCATCGCCGCATGTGTTTTCGCTTTCCCTGGCATCTCGTGTACGCGTGCTGTGGTTGCGTCTGTAGGTTACTCTGCAGACGGAAAGCGGCATATATCGGAGGTCAATCCTTCTGCTCAGTTTCTCCTCCTCCTCCTCCTCCTCCTCCTCCTCCTCCTTCGATTACTCGGTCGGCCAGAGCGAGAGAGGGAGCGAGGAGGGAGAGAGATCGGTCGGGAGCTGATTACTGTGGCTCACTTCCGTTGTGTCATCGAGCGAGATGCCAGCGGCGACAGTAGCGGCGACAGTAGCGGCGACGGCGGCGGCGGCGCCGCCGCCGCTGTCGCCGCTGGAAGTGTCATGTGAGCTTCCGGTTGGCAGCGATGGCGTCTGCATGATTTGCAAAAGCTCCCCGCCTGATGATCAAGTGCTTTTGTGTAACACATGCGCAAGTCCGTGGCACATGGGGTGTCTCAAGCCGCCAGTTCAGGAGGTCCCGACAGGTGACTGGTACTGTCCCGACTGCATGATGATGCCCAACCAAGGGGACATCGCGGGACCGCCACGTGTCGTACCTGTGGGGGCGATGATGGCACCTGCTGGATCTGATCGACTCCTGCAAAAGATTCTAGCCATTCAAAACGATCGCAAGCTGACGGAGGCGGAGAAAGCCAAACGGCGGCAACAACTCATGTGCATGCGTACGAAAACAGCCGGAGGTGGAGGTGGAGGTGGAGGTGGAGGTGGATCTGACGAGGACGAAGAGGAGGAGAGGAGCAGCGGAGATAACATCGACGGAAGCAGCAACAATGTCTCAAATGCTGCGAATACGAGTAACGGGCACAACAATAACGCCGAGAACAACAACAATAAGGCGACCAGCAGCGAGAGTGACAAGGCCAAGGGAAATGCGACGTTGGGAGTTTTCGACGAAAACCTCATCTGCAGCTTTTGTATCAAGCTTTGTGATCGCCCTGTCACGGTGAGTACACTGGCTATGGCGGACTCTCCTCGTTTTGACGTTCCCGGGTGTGTTGCCTGCGTCCGTCGCCTGATTGAAGTCTTCTTCCACTTCATCTGTCTCCTTGCAATGTCTTCTATCCCTCGTCCTCCCGTTCTCACATCAATATTCTAGTCCTTTGGCACTGCCACGTCGGTTATCGTGCTCAACGTCATGCTGTTGCAACACCGCCTTCTCGCTCCTCTACTCTCACGCCGCGCTCTCTCTCCTCGTTACTTACCTGTAAAGTGTGAATGCCTCACGAATGTGTCCGCCATCGCGCTATGGACATGATATGTGTCAACCGGGGGAGAGAGCACACAGGTTCGCGCGCTCTCTTTTGGGAGGGGGGAGAGAGAGAGCACACGGTCTAACGCGCTCGTGTGTTTCCTGGAGAGAGAGAGAGAGAGAGAGAGAGAGAGAGAGAGAGAGAGAGAGAGAGAGAGAGAGAGAGAGAGAGAGAGAGAGAGAGGAGATGGAAGACATCTTGAGAAATGTTGTCGTACAAATAAAAAAGTTTTAGTGAAAATCTATTTGGTTCGCAGTTCCACCATGCCCCCGTCCTTTTCTATTTGATTCATTCAATGTCTGCCGTGGGCATGGGGAGAAATTGCAGACTGGGGCATGGGAGCTCGCTTTTTCTTTTTTACCCCTGAAAAAAGAGGGGTGCAACTTTGGCAAGGCGATTTTGATCGAACCGGCCGGCCCCTCTACTGGTTGATTTCCTGAGCTGACTTAGTCTTCCCTCTTCCGCTGCCCCAGTATTCTTCTCTTTTGTTTTCTATAATACTATAATAATAACTCCCTTCCACCTCCCCCCCCCCCCCCCCCCCCCCCCCCCCTCCCTCCCTCCCTCCCTCCCTCCCTTCCTCCCTTCCTCCCTCCCTTTTCGCGTTCGTAGTCAATAGTGGAGTTTTGGAAGTTGCTTCCTCAGCAGATGTAGACAGTGGCCGTGCGGAGGTGGGTAATAGTGTTCCCACGCTGGTCTGCTCATCTGCTTATTGCTTTGCTTGAAATTACAAAAGCCGAATGCCATTTCTTGCAGAATGGTGATCGGATCCAACAGAGACTGACAGAACAACATAGATTTTCGTCGACCAAAAACAGAGCTAAGTTTTTTTGTTTTTGGTCGAAGAAAGTTTCATCTGTTGGATGATCTTGTGCTCTGCGCTTACGCTTAGTCCGTTGTCTTGATCGTGATTGCCTGTGGAAGAGGCGCGGAACGTGAACCAGTGTGTGAAAAGTACGGAGATTTGAAGTGATGTTGTCGTGGATGGCGATGGTGGGGATGATGAATGGCTTGGGCGATGCGATGATCGACTTTCGATGATGATTGGTGATCATGATGTGGATAACTGGATGATTGATGCTGGCTATGATGGTCAAGGGAGCAATTGTGAAGTTGATCCGACTGTTTCTGTGTGTGCTCATGTGTTTCTAGGTGCGAGTGTGTGTTGTCATATTCGCTATACACTCAAAAAAAGCATGACTGTACCGAACAGACTTTCGTCGGACTTTCACCGACTCATCAGGAGGAGGTTGAACCTGGACAGACAGTCTGTCCAGAATGCATTTGACTGATGGATAAGCGGACTCACCACATCGCCCAGAGTTAGCGAAACCCATCCTTGAGAGAGAAAAGTGGTCCCTACTTTACTCACACCAACCTTGCAATCCCCCTAGCAGACTGCCGGTCCAAACCGCTGACAAGAACGGTAGTAAGTCTGAGTGTGTGTGTGTGTGTGTGTGTGCGTGTGCGCGGTTGTCAGTGAGATGTGTTGCCGAAGTGTAAACGCTCGGAGGTGTGATAGATAAATGGCGTGACAAGTTCGCAAGTGATTATTTATATGTAGCCCTAAAAATAGAAATAAGTAAGGGAGAAGTATAAGGCCTTGAGGGCGTCCATGTTGATGAAGACTGGTCTTGAAGAAGGAAAAGGAGAGCGACGGGAGAAGCGAAAGAGGCAGGTCCCTGGCTCTTAGCTTGATGTATGGTCTTGGTTGGTAAATACCGAATTCCAACCAAGCATAATTCGTAATAAAGGGAACGGACATATAGAATGGCGCATGTAGCTTTAGTCTACATCCATTCTCTCTTTCGCCCCCCCCCCTTCCCTCCCTCTCTTCCAGGAAAAGCAGAGTCTGTGTTGGCGATTGCAGATGAGATGTAGCGGTGGAGGTAATATGGTGGTGGGAGAGAGAGAGAGAGAGAGAGAGAGAGAGAGAGAGAGAGAGAGAGAGAGAGAGAGAGAGAGAGAGAGAGAGAGAGAGAGAGAGGGACAAGGGTTTATCCTTTCCTTCTCGCAGCTTGGGATTTGGCATGTTGATTGCCATCGCCATGGATTCCGTAATCATGGATCGGATTGTTAGAGAGGCCGTTCTACGACATCATTGAGCGTCTACTGTCAGCTCTTTTCAGTTCTATCTTTTTCCAATGCATTTTCTGCGTGTTGTTTTTTTCTTCTCCTGTCATGTTGTTCTTTTCTCCTTCTTCCAATAACGCGTCTGGTTGCTCTCAGCAGTTGCCCTCTCTTTGCTTTTTTATCCCAGTTATTGATATTGACGTTATATATCTTTATTATAGAGATTTTTTACTAAATTTTGTTCTCCCCTTTTCTTTCCATTTTCTGTTCGTTCTTTTTGACTTCCTTCCGCATTAAAAAAAAAACTTTGCTCCTTCCGCATAAAAAAAAAACTTTGCTCCTTCCGCATTAAAAAAAAAACTTTGCTCCTTCCGCATTAAAAAAAAAGTGCTCTGCCTTTACGCAATCGTATTTTCTAATCAGTGCCTTTTCCTTTTGTGGTTCTATTCTCCATCTGTACCCATTTTTTCCAATCTTATCACTTTTTTCTTTTTTTCTTTTTTGATTCCGTCCTTTTCAGCGTATTTGCGCTCAAAGGAGCCCGGGCTCGAGCGTAAATGTGTAATATAAATCTGTATTTGAAGGGGAGAAAAAAGACATAAAAAAGTGTAATATAAATCTATATTGGAAGGGGAGAAAAAAGACAGAACATACAGTTTTACAGTGATCGTTCTGGAGTAGCGAGGCTGAGCGAAAAATCCAAGTTTTTAGTACGCCAATCACCGCATCCGCCGAACTTATGCCTTGGACGAGATGTCCCTTTTACACGGGACTCTTCGTTGCAGGCCGTAGATTAGGAAGAAGATATAAATTTTGAAGAAGTGAAGATATGGCTGAGTGTCAGACCCTGCCTCTGGAGCTTCTACATCAACAGAAGCGAAAATCTTTTCTAGCTTCGCAGGCCTGCAAAGGGGTTTATGTCAAGCTGAGCCCTTCCTTTCTCCCCGTGCTTTTTCTTTTCTCAGAAAAAGAAAATCCAGTAAATATAATGGAAAACCGAGACAGCTCTCAGTGTAACGCAAGCAGGTTGACATTTTTCCGGCGGCACCTCGTTTGGCATATCCAAAAGAAACACAAAGTTGACGAGAAAGTAGAAGCAAAGAACGGCAAAGCAAATCAAAGTGACCTTGAAAGAGATGAAAGGAATAGCAATAACAGGTATGTCTTGGCAGAGAAACTGAAGGAAGTCTTGGCAGAGAAAATGAAGGAAGCACGCACTGAAAGGCAGAAATGGAGGCAGAGAATGGAGACACAAAGTAGACAGCAAGAAAAAAGTCGGAAAGAAAAGCCTTCCTTCTTTCCCCCTCCGTCCCTTCCTCTTCTCCTCCGCTCCTCCCCTCTTCTCTTCCCCTCTTCCCCTCCTCCCCTCCTCCCCTCCTGTCCTCCTGTCCTCCTGTCCTCCTCTTCTCCTCTTCTCCTTTCCTCCTGTCCTCTCCTCCTGTCCTCTCTCCTCCTGTGCTTCTCCTCCCCCGCCGCCTCCCCTTGTGAAGAACAGTGGGCTTGTGAGCTCTTGGCCCTGGGATTTCGAAGTCAACGACGTGTGTCCTCCCCTCTCCTCTCCGCTACCCTTCCTCGTCAAAAATAAGGATGCGCTTGCGCTGGTCAGTCCCCCTGACCAGTGCCACTTGCAGTAGTTAACCCCCATTCATACTTAGTGGCTGACTGTGAACTTCCCCTTTCGGAGAGAGAAAGCTTATAGCCCGAACCCCCTCTCCTCCCTCTTGTGTAACCCTTTGATCATGTGCACCATCCTTGTCGTTCCTTTTTTTTTTTTTTTTTTTACCAAAAGACACGCTGTAGTGCTAGTGATACTGATTAAACACAGATACCACTAGCACCCAGGGGAGGCTCCATCCTCCTCTGCTGATGAGATGATGCTAACCCGTGTGTTCTGGCAGCGGTGCCCTGCAGTTCGCTCTGCAAGCATTTCCTTTCAGCCGCATATCATTGTTTTTTGTGAATATCTTCTCTATGTCATTATAAAATAGTGACATGTGTGATAGTCCAACTTCTGGTGAATCATACCATTTAACATGTGAGTACCTTACGAATGAATGGCATCATCATAATTGAATGAGATATACAAATGACAATAACTATGGCATGTGGGTAGTTATACTAATAGCAGCAGCCGAAACTCCCTTTACTGCGCATCATAACGTGAATCGTGACTGTACCTGTGTAAATGAATGGTATGATCACCATATCATAATAATGTACGAGTCATAATACAGTAACTATGGTATGTATCTGTATTTCATAATACGTTAGCTGAAGTCCCTCGGCTGCCTCCCTCTGGATGTCCACCGTAAGATGGTCCTGTCCACTGGATGTCCACCGTAAGATGGTCCTGTCCACTGGATGTCCACCGTAAGATGGTCCTGTCCACT